CGCCGTCTAGCGTGGGAAGGGCGCGGCTGGTGTCCTGGGGGACCGCCACAGTGTAGGAAACTCTCAATCTGTTCCCTGAAGTGAGCGGTCAACAAGTGTCATGGGAGAATCTAGACTCCAGACGTTTAGACTCCAGACGTTTTCTAGATGTGTTTCTAGTTTTCTAGGAGTTTCCAGACGTCACGGCTGTCGGTCGATGGCATCACAGCTGTCGGCCGATGCCAACCGGGCTTCCGTCAACTGAGCCACTCCCAGCATCCCGTAAGGCACAGCGCTAAGTGACAACGGAAGAAAAAGCTCCCAGCGCGCCGGTACGCGGCGATTCATCAGCTGGTGCCCTCGGACGCCATTGGGGGTGGCGCTGGAGCTGTCTCGCGTGCGCGCTCTTTCGCAGCGCGCCGCTGCCAAATCCCGGGGGCAGCCGACCGCGGCCAGACGCCAACTTGGCCGCCGACACAAATGCGTCAGTGGCCCGGGCCTGCAGCGTTTAGCGGCCGCCGCTCGTCACGGCCGAGCTGGTGCCGTCACGGCGGTGGCAGCGCGGCTCAGTCGGTGACAGGTGCGGATGAAAGGCCGCTTAGCCGACGGCGGCCACGCGAAGTGGTCTCCTTATTACAGCTTGGAGTGGCCGGGAGCAGGCCGAGTCCAGTCCGTGACACGCACAGCTGGTCACGGACTGGATGTCAACCATGCTCATAAAACGATCGAGTTTGTGCAGTAGTGAGCAGGCTGCCTCGCCATGTTTCTTTGCAAGCCAATGCAATGTGACCGTATGTTTGTGTATGAATAGCCAGCACCGAGGTTCACTACCCAAACAGGCCGCTTAGCGCCACATCCAACGTCTTACCCTGGTGCCAGAGCGGCGAATTTTGCTCTAGCTAAGCATTAACGGCGTCGTTTGTGGCATGCCAATGGCCCTCGTCTTAATTGGCGGACAAATCAGATGTAACGGTAATCGTGATCGACGGGGCAACGGTTTTGTTGTCAAGCGCTCCTCTTGACAACGACGCAAGTGCTTCAAATGGGTATGTGATGGCATTACCATCGTCGCTAACGACCTTCAGTATGCCACGCGATGGCTTCGGTATAGTTTGGCACGCTGCCAGCTAGGACGCCTGAACATTGCTGAAACGCATAGGTGTATGCTAACGTGGAGGCGTAACTGTGAGTGTTGTCCAGAAATTGGTGGGACCGCAATGCATTTAGGATCAGTTTCATTTTACGCGATAAATATTCCTAAAACAAATATTCTCAAACTTTGGACCGAGTTTCTGCCACCAGGCAGGAACTCCTCCATCCCTCTCCCTTACGTCCATTATTGTGCAATCGACTAGCTGCCGTACAATCAACAGATTCGACAGCCCTGTTAGGCCGACCGAGCGAATATCGTGGTGGTGAAATGATCCTTCCCCAGTTCACGACTGGGTGAGAAAATATCCCAGTGGCTGGGACACCGGCCCGCAGGCTCGGCGCGTGCCCCGATTTAACGTGTGCGGAGGGTGAACTGCGGTAATGGGAGCGACGAGCGCTAAATCGCGTCTCCGATTAACGATCCATTTCAGTATCCGCAGCGGCAGTGAGCTGTGCCAATTCCATGTAGCAGAGAAGCGCCGAGCTGAAGCATCGCTCTAATCCTGCTCCAGGGCTGCCAAATTCCAAACGGCGCCTAGTTGCGCAGAAAATCGTTAGTTGTATCGCCAAAATGACCCCAAAGCCCAACTTACGGACCAACTTAAGCCCAATGTTGGCCAAGCAATCTGCTGCAGGCAAGCATACGCCGCAGATGTTGCGCCCTTCGCCCTTGCCCTAGGCCGGCATCTACCAAGAATGAACATTTGCAGCAGGAGCGTCCAGTAGCGGATTACCGACCACGCGGCGTGAGTATATGACAGAGAACTCGTGGTCCGTGAGACCGAGTTCGAGTCCCTGAGAAAGCGAAATGCTCTCCCGGCCATTATGTGGTGGTCAGCTGCCATCTGGCCAGAGAGGGTCATTCTGAGGGTCAGAGGGTCAGAGGGTCATTCTAAAATATGAATGCATCGATAATCTAACTGCAGTACAACTTCATATGTATTGCAGCTACCAGCTGATTTACCAGAGAGCTGGCAGTTGCTAAAAACAAGAATATGAGTGATGCGACGCAACAGCGCTTCTGGGTATTTGCATACTCGGGACTGATATTTACAGTGAATTGACCGTCATCAAACTCCTGCCCTACTGTGCTTTTGGGAAAAGTGATCCAATTGTTGCCATCCGATGGCTAGGTTCACATCCTGTCTTGCTTGCTGCATATTGGCATCTATTAGCGATTCATCAAACTCATTCAATTTAAAATACAGTTTTAACGGTTCCCACATCGTTTGCTTTTAAACATGGCTTATTTCTAGGCTCTCGCTCTGCTAAACACGCAATGTTTTCTCCTGTTAGCTTCATGTTTCACTTTTTAAAAGAATTGCTGTGCACGCGCGATGCACTTCACACGAAAATCGTGCAACGGTCTCGCAGTTTGATTTCATTTTCTTTCTAGATTCGTCTCCATCTAGTCCAATGGCTTGAATGTTAAAAAATTTGCGACCATAAAGCCGTATCAGTGTACAGGTGAGCAGTCGGAATCTATAGCGTACGCCCTAACGTGATTGGCTCGTAGAGAAAACTATAAATGGACGATTTACTTCAGCACAGTGTGTCTGGAGTGTCCTACACTTTTCCTACTAAGAATAAACAAGGTTTATATAAAAATGGGTAGGCCATCATCTAATATCTAATTGCAACCAAAAGCTTTATCCGCAGCAAGTTAACTAGGCAAATAATGATTATGCCAACAACTGACGTTCATTTACACCCAAAAACCTAGCCTTTTTTTATTTTTTCAATTTATTCCGGATGGTTTGCATTGGTAATATCGGGTTCAGAGCACCCGCTAAGCAAAGCTTGTTGCGTGTACCCCGAACCCACCACCCAAGTCGTGCCGTCCAGTTCAGCGTATAATTTTGCCTCCGCCTTTTTGCCAGATAGGACTGCGGAGGTTTTTACGCGCTGCACAATGCTGCGGCACCGCCGCCCCAGGCCTGGGTTGACCCTCATTGGCTAGGTGCAAGCTACCCTTTGCATTTCAGCCGGGTCAAACAATGCGCTCACTCTGGGACTCGTATCCAGTGCCGCTAGATTACGAGCCCAGCATCTCTGCCCTACACCACGAAGGCGGCAAACTACCTAACCTGCCCAAATTATATATAAATTATATATTAATCACATATAAATTGTGTCATATGAATTATATCTAAATTATATTAACATACCTACCTAACCCAAATTATTTAGATTTAGAAGGATTAAGCCAGCATGTATTGTTTATTTGCAGCTAAAAGCAGCCGTGCCCCAAAAGGACATATTTCACTGCGGGCATCTGGTTACTACTCAAAATAGTAGCATGGACACTGAGAGCAAATGCAGCTACGTATTCATGCAGCTACGTTTTGCTTAGCATTTGAAATTGATATTCACAGCGAGCTGACAGTTTTTTAAGCCATGCCCTACAAAAGCTTTTTCAATGCTTCGAGGGATTTCCTTGCCTCAAGATGCCTCCTTGCTTTCCGCATATTGCATCACTTTGTAAATCACTCATCCAATTATGAATACATCTCCGGCTGCTCCCACATTGTTTGCTTCCAGTCATTGCTCATTTACAAGATATTGTCCGCATGCTAAACGCAACTATTTTGACCACGTTATCTCTTACATTCCAGTTTTTGAAAGCATCACTGTATTTACCCGCTTCACTCGCACACTTAGCTATGTTATGGTCTCGCACTTAATTTCTCCTCAGCTTGGATTCTACCTAGTCAAGTAACCCGAAGAATCACACGTCCTGGACGTTAAGACTTTAATGAAAGCCACGATACCACAATCTACATCCTTCAAACTGAATAAAGTAAATATTTACTTGATTTCTTAATTTCGAGGAAAGTTGATTGATTTTCCGAACATTTTTAGAACTCGTCAGTCTTGTGTTAAGTTATTGTCAATCACTACAGGGATATTCCATTACCAAGTGTCGTAAGAAAACCCCAGTTTGGCGATTTGTCGCCAATGCTAGCAGCCCTGCCCTGAACCCACACCCATATCTTAAATCAGAGCTTCGGCCAAAGCCATTCGTATTTGCTGGGCGTCCATATATAGACCATGAATGATGCTTAGCTTCACACACCTGCGCGTTTCTCGATAACGTGAGAGCGAAATGCTTAACACTCATAATTGAGATTGTCCTATGCTTTAGTCCGAATCTGAACCTTTGTTTAGTCCAGGCAGGTCGTTCTTTGCCTTTTGCACGACTGGACAGGGAACGAGTACTTTGCGATGGCGTGGTAAGTGTCAATAATGGAAGTCATGACGTGGTAAGTGCAAATCATGCATGTCATGGCATAGTAAGTACCAGTCATGGATGTCATGGTGTGGTACGTGTCAATCATGGATGTCATGGTGTGATAAGTGCCAATCATGGATGTCATAGCTTGGTAAGTGCCAATCATGGATGTCACGGCGTGTTAAGTGCCCGATCATAGATGTCATGGCATGGCAAGTGCTAATCATAGACAGGCCCAGAGAAGAAATAGGTGGAGCAATTTATAGCACAAAAAATGTCATGCCCTTCATTCATAAAGAAAAATGGCATTGTGTCTGAGGTTGTGGGATATATGTGAGATAGGTTCACTAGGGTACATTAAGTCAATAGGAGTGCTCGTCGCATTCACAATTCAGATAATTAATCAAACAAATAAATCAAACCTGAAAGGTAGCAGCACAGTGAACGATCACCTTACATCGGGATTCAGCTCACCTTTTCCTCACATCCGTCGCGAACAGGTAGGGTGAAAGTTCATGCACGCTTGGAGGATACTGAATAGTTTCGACGGAAACGCCGGATGAAGTGCGTAACCGCTGGCTTGCATGTTCGAGATCATTATTAGTCACGCGACTACCGGGGAATCTGCCTCGCTTACCTTGGTGGTTGGTGGCGGTCGAGTCAGCTTCAGCGGGTAGTTGAGGATGACGCCCATCTGGTCGTAGGCGGTGTTGGCGAGGGCGCTGTGCTCGATGGTGCAGATGGATAGCAGAGAGGTCACCATGTCGGATATCTCCTCCTACCGACCTGAAGCCTGCAGCCGTCACCAACACCACGTCAATAGGCTGAATGTGTGAGTAAACCGTCCATCCGACACACGCATCACAGTGTCAGCCAGCCATCGCTTCTATATCTTGTTTGCCTGCTTCATGTGAAGTATTTAGGCGTGTGCCAAGCGAATCACATAGGTTATCTAAGTCGTGTCCGGCTGAAGAATCAAGCATACAATGTAACTTAAGTCAGCTCCCAATACGGGCCCAGTCACACTTGAACCGGTAAGATCTGCGTGAATATGGTGAATGCGATCTCGCCACTCGCTTACTCCAAACAGTCGAATCTCCTAACCATCACGAAAGGCTACGGCGATGACCAAAGGCGAACAGCGATCGTGTTCCGTCCTCCATTGCCGACACGCCGGCCAGCACCGCAGCCGCCAGCACAACCCGTCTCCAGCCCCCAAACGAGGACCCAACCATGAAAAGGCCCAGTCTGTTGCCTGATGATGATGATGCGCCCGCTCCAGATCCCATTAATCGCGCGCGGTCGGTTGGACGACGCGGCTAAAGGCGCCGCGTTTTTCTCTTTTGGCTTTGCTTGATCGTAATGCGGGGACCGGGTGCCTGAGTGATCTGTCACCACCCCGGGGCCCCTGCCCCGCGAGCGGGACATCCAGATGAGGCAGCGCCGTCCAACCAATAGTGGGGAAGGTGGGCAAGTACGGAAAGGAAATCTGTGCTCGATTTCCCTTGTCGTGCGCCGAATGTGTTCCCACTCGTAGCTAACTTGGATTGAAATCCCACCCCAAATCACCTACCGTTCAAAAAATGACTTAAAGGAAGCGTCACTTTGCTTAACTTGATTTCACTGGCACTGTCTGACTTTCAATCAAAGTGACGACATTCCACTCTGAGGCGGAATCGGCGTGATTCCGGAGCACAATCAATGTCACCAATAAAAATGTGACAACATATAACGCACTGATGTCAGACATATCAAACCGTTTTTTGTAATGCTCCGGATGCCATAAGCAGCCTGCTGGAACAGCTGGAAACGAAATGTCTCAAGATGGCATAATTAAGGACGGGATCAGTCCCCCTTTTGCAACTTCACGGCGCGCGCAAATCCCGAAATCTGTTCAGAGCACTCATCTGATGCATTGTGAGTTAGGCAGTGAACACGTGGCATCTACAAACTGCAGTGGTATGTTTCTCGAACATGCATGAGGCAGATGAAGATAAGGTTAACTGTAGATAACCAAGGATCAAAACTGGCGCAGCCCCGGTGAGCCTGCGTCTGGACCCCGATGCATGGCGGTTCTTTATACATTTCATTGGTTGAGCAGTGAGAAATCCGATCGGTTCTGATTCTGCGTTACCTAGAAACTGCATTAATTGAACCAAGCTTGCATTATTTAAATTTTGCGAGGATTCTGATCAGCCGCGGCGTTGGGCTCCAATCAAGCGGAAATGTGACTGGAGCAGCCACGGACGCGTTTGTGCGCATCCCGCAGCATCATTCTCGGCTTATGTTCAGCGCAGAGCACGCCCGCAACCACATCAACATTTACGGTATTAACGCGTCATTTGCACATTCACGCGTTCGCGGTGTCACGCCGCGTTCCCCAGCATCCCCGGGAGGCGGGGCTCATTTCGTCCGCACCGCGGCGGTAATCACCTCGACCGGCGCTCGGCGGCCACCCCGCAGACAGCCGGCGTCGGCGGCGACGCGCGTCGTTTGCGACAGATCGCGGTCACGTACCGCGCCCGTAACCGACACGGCGGTCGATACAGCGACTCCGGACAGATGAGTGAATCACCGGCGCGTCCCAGACGTGATGAAATGACGCGCCGCGCGCGCTGGCCGCTCGCCAGCAAAGAAAGCCCGGCGGTCGGCGCGGTGGCGGCGCCAGCGATGCTCAGGCCTCTGCAGAGCCGCGTGCCGGCTGGCTGTCGCCGGGGCCGGCTTCTCACCGGCTCGCTTTGTTGCGCATTTGTGATGGTCCACGTTCGTCGGCGCCCATTTAAAGGCAGTGTATTCCACTGACCGCTAATGGTAGGGATATCATTAGTTATTGGCAATGCTCGAACATCGTAGTTCACTTAGCATCACAAATGAGTGCGAGCGCACATGCTGCCGGAGTACCGACGCGCCTAGATCTGCGCCACGGTGTTGTGTATTCCACATCAGCGGCAATAAAAGAGCCAAGTCGGCGCCGTGCTGCGTGCGCTGGTGGGTTTAGCTGGTGTCGTCGTGAAGTGTTGTAACCCAACAGAGTCCCAGCGCGACGACAGTGCCGACGGCGTAAGCATCCTTCTCCGCGCCACCTCCGTCCCCAGGGGGCGACTGCGGCGACGCCATGGACCATCCGCCGGCGACAGGCGCATCATCACGACCGGCTGGCCCCCGAGGTGACCTTGACTCTAGGCTCACCTAGACTCTGGTGACCTGGCACGCCGCCAACCTGCCGCGCCACGTCCGCTCGCCACGACTGCATCTCGTGGTCCTGCCGGATCTTCTCGGCCGACGCTGTGGGCCGGAGAAACGTCAGCGGCGCGCTCGGCCATGCCGCCACGCTGCCGAGGCGTACGTCGCCTCTCGGGGCCCATGTCACGTTTGGAAGCGGGTGACGTTCGAACCGTGTTGTTTAGCTGCGACAGGCGGCGCATCAACAGTGCGCGACATTCGCTACAGTCACGCTAGATGGCAGCTGTGCCGTGTGCATTGGCGGGGATTGCACAGCACATGTGGCTTAGGCGCCAATCCCGCGGCGTATTCGTCAAACCAAAAGGAAATACCGCCATTCTGCGCGCCGCTCACGTGACCAGTCACTAACAAAGACTGGCCAATGTCAGAGCATCACGCCGGCACTCACTGTAGTAGTGCGCGACGACGGTGCTGACGTAGCTGTGCAGCAGTCGGTGCAGCGGCAGCGCGCTGTCCCGGTAGCCGTAGCGGGGCAGGCGCTCGCGGCTGCTCACACCGCGGCTGTGCAGCTCCCTCGCCACGTTGCCGTGCTTGTCCAGCCGGTACCGGCTCAGGCTGGAACGGTGCCGGGCGGCGCGCGCTTGACGGCTCGGTTCGACGGGAGGGGACCGCCGGGGAGTCCCCGGAGGAGCCACGGACCGCCGGGTAGTCCCCGCAACAACCACGGCCAGACGCGCAAGGCTCTCCCTTGGCTACAGCGTGGCTCGCGGGCTGCCGTGAGCAGCAGCTGTGATTATGTGGTAACCGGGGCAAGCGCGAGCAAAAACAGTGGCCGCGTTCTTCAGATTCCGCACTTTCGTGCTTGGTGAGGTTGTGCGACAAGGCAGCGTGAGGCACCTCAAATCACCATTCACTCAGTACTGTCATACCCTCTCTGAGGCGTCCACCCAGTTTGGTGACCGGTTGTGTTGAAACCACAACGTCGGGAGCGTAATGCCGCTGGCTAAAACACCGTGCAAACCAAACCCAGAACACGGCCATGAGCCGTCGCCAAGATCACGGGGAGCTTGCTAACGCTGATGATCTCCCAGTGCGGTGCACCGCAACACGCTAGCATGATCAATACGCGGCCACGGACGGGTGGGCCGGTCGCCCCAGATTGAGCGGCGTCGCCCTCAGCACACGCCGACGGCTAATGACCCAACCTGACGCTGCCGGCGGCTATTCTCAGCGCACCACAGTGGTCACCGAGTCCGCCGCTGGTCTGGAATCGGCATGGTTCGGCAGCGCGCGGATCTGATGACCACTCAGCCGAGGGCACCCGGCGGCGTTCGCTCCGGTGGGCGCCCTAAACGGCCGCCACTTGAGCTGTGACCGAGGAGAGGAAGGCCGGAGTAGGCTCACCGCCAGGCGTGACACTGAATCTGCCGGTGGTGGGCTGGCCGCAGATGTCCGCTACCCTTTTTGTTTGACCATCCACTGGGGCGTGTAAACGTCGTAAAATACCTACTGTGGTGGGAAGGTAAAATGTGTTCCCTTGGATAAGTGCATCACTGGTGTGCAAGACTGCCACCATATCGTTTTCTCACAGTTTTCCCCGCATACTTCTGCAAATATTCTCACCCCTTTGTCATGACGTCCTGCAGACTCTTGGCTCCCATTGTGGTGCATTTGTCCAGCCATGCATCCATGGTCTTGGAAGCCGCACTGCAAAGACAGACAATGGTATGTTAACAAAACAGGGCTTGTGTGGAGGTGTTCAGATTCAATTTGTAGGGTCGACGCGTTCTCCGTTTGGGCTGATTGGCTGATTGGCCGATTGGCTGACGGCAGCAGTTGGCCTCAGCCGTGTCGATGTCGTAGATATCTGTCTTTGCTGATTGGTTGCTTGGTTGACGGCAGTAGCGGGCACACAGTCGCATCGATATCGTAAAATTGTTGTACGCTGTATGTCGTCCTTTTATTTTGACTTAATTTGTTGAGTACTGCAACTATTTTGCGCAACCATGCGTTTTGTACTTTGTAATGCATTTTGCTGCACTAATCCTATATGATTAGGTTTTTTAATATGTTCAAGTTCTCGCTCATAGACGTGTTTTGCAATGTTCATTTAATTGACTGAGGGTCATGTAAAGTTCTCTGACTTCAGAGTCCTTTCTCTTTCATGGTCAATCAAGGAAAAGAGCGTATTGCCTAAAATGGGCGACAGCGTGCAAATAAATCATAAGTGATATGATACAAGACAGGACAATGAACATATTCGATATAGGCATTACTGTTCCGGTGATTACACCGCTGACACCGTGGATATATAATAAGCTTTCACCTCCACTCCATAGCTTTGCACAAAGGTGCCTGCCCGGCCCACTCAATGCCGTGCAACCATTAGTTGTGCTTGATACGTAATGTTCCTAATAGCTGAGATATGAGTGCATTCTTTATCACAGTCCCTCGGGATCCCTTGTGGGTCCAAATGGCCGGAACAGGGTCGTATCGGATGTTGTAGACACCTGTTTCTCATTTGCAATATACTAAGGTTTTCCTGTTTGCAGTGTTTTGGACGTTGGCGTCACCTTTCGCTTTATGAAACAGTTTGTCTTCAACGGGTAGCGGACTAGTCGAAACTCAGTCGAAACCCCCCTCTCGTTCACGGCCGAGCCGTCCAGCCCTCCGAGGCGAGGACGGTGACAGCTGACTCGCTGATCAGATTGAGTTCGCTGGTCCGCTTCTGCCGACTGGTCCGCCGGGCAGCGGACTCAGGAGACACTGCTGATTGGTCCCCGAGACAGCGGACTCAGAAGTAATGACTGAATGGTTCTCTGGACAGCGGAATCATAAGACATTGCCGACTAGTCCGCCGGGCAGCGAACTCAGAAGACATTGCTGACTGGTCTTCTAAACAGCTGACTCGGGAGACGTTGCTGACTGGTCCGCTAGACAGTGAATTCAGAAGCCGTTGCGTCAGTAAGTTGGGCAGCAAGTCAACCGTCGCCGGCTTTAGTTACAGGAGGCTGGACAGCCACGCCGTCAAGAGGACACCATTCCGGCTTTCATAAAATCCGATGCTTTTTACAAAAAGCTCCGATCTTTTTAATAGCTGCTTATACGGTACACGCTTGACTTCAGCCTCAAAATCGAACAAAATACAGCAGGTCGCAAGCTACACTGTGAGCGTCGCCAATGTACCGCACTGCATTAGTTCAGCCGCACTGCCTCAAAGAGCACCTGATATCTATAAATAAAGAAGTTGAATGGTTGGAGGGAGGGTTAGACCATACACATTGTCAATGTCTTGCACTGGTTAATTTATGTCCATAACCCCTGGCACGTTCAAGCAATGCACGCACTTACACCAGAACTCACAGCGCAATTGATGGGTGACGCCGGTCATCCCCGTGGTATCGGTCTGTAGTAGTTGTACGCAAGTAATAAAAAAGTTGAAAGTCATGTCGAGGGAATTAGGCCTCACAATAAATCGTCCTTCAGTAAAATTTTTTGGCATTTTCGCAAGTTGCTCTGATTCACAATGGTGGCGTTTAGCTGGAAGTTTCTCTTACCACCTTCATAACTCTGCGAAAGTTTTACCCTTAACTTGGGACCGATAGCAGGCGAATATCACTAGGCGGTACTTTCATTATGGCAATGTTTTAGTTCATGGCATTTAAGTGGAAGAGAAATCGTTAAAGTGACAATATCTCAAGCATTCGGGATGTGTTTGGTTAGAAAAGTTTCTTTTAAAGGTCATTATTGTCTGCTTGTTTCAGTGGTATTAAGATAAGGCCGGTTTTGATAGGTCCGAACACTTTAAATCAGGAGCTGGTTATTTTGGACTGTCCGGCCCGTTAGGAAATGGCGTCGTCCGCCGGTACGCAGTCTGGCACGAGTGGGCCCGATTGTGATGGCATCCAGCAGGCGCCAGTCGACGCAGATTCTGACCTCAGCCAGTCGACGCAGATTCTGACCTCAGCAGCGACAGCAGGGATTGGTATCTGAGCGCCGGGGCCATCGCCTCAAGTGACACGGACGCAAGCCCGGACACGAGAGCAGTCTGGCCTTGGCGCGCCGCTATACGGCCCTGAGTCGCTTGCTCCGCTGTTGCGTGTGTAGGCGGCATTCATAGCACAAATGTTTTTTTTTTATTTAATGACACATTTACCTCATGCGCCTACTTGGCGCCCTCATGTTCCTAGGGGCAGAATGTGACGTTAGCGCCACGGGACGACATGTTAAGGCCACAAGACGGGACGTTGACATCACGGGACAAAACGTTGGCGCCACGGGACGAAACATCAGCGCCGGGGGACGTAATGTTAGCGCCGCGGGACGTGATGCTAGCGCCACGAGACGAGACGTCAGCGCCACGGGACGAGACGTCAGCGCGACGTGACGTGACGTCAGTGCCACGTGGCATGATGCTAGTGCCACGAGACGTGACGTCAGCGCCACAGGACGTGACGAGCAGCGCTCAGGCGCCGTGCCGTGCGCTCTGTCGCGGTAAGAGGAGCCAGTATACGTGCCGGTGGATATGCACGCGAGACCACCAGCGCACGTCAGTGCTAATCTAGATGCTGTCGTAGCGGTAAACAGTATTTATTAGCGACTCGGTCCGAGACTTGCGTCGGAGCGCCGCCTCTGTTGGGGCTTGGCTGTCTGGCCTTTCGTAGCCAAATACGGTGGCACCTAAGCAGCTGGTCAGCTTAGACCGAGTGTGTCGTCAGCCTGACCAGAGAGGTGCTGTTACCGTCTTAGCCTAAAAAAAAAACTGAGCAGCCACACCCTGAACCAGACGGTTTTTTCACACAGGTGTCTAGCAGTTCATTTACGAAGAAAATCGACTTAAAGGAAATTTACATGGGCGATGGTGTTTGCCATGTAACTGAATAAACCGCTGGGCTTTGAGACACCGGGTCAGCGAACGCGGGTGGAGCTTTGTCTGTCGTTGGAAAGATTCGCTTTCCGTTCCCTCTAAGGTTTGTGAAACGTGTTCAGATATTTTATTCCGTGTTCGGTTAATATAGCAATTCATAGTGCGAACCGAATCCAAGTCACCCAGGACCCAGATTCTAGGATCATTGGTGACTGCCATTTGCTGTTGAAAAAGCTTACATTTTAATAATTGCCCCGCTGTAACGGTACAATCACTGGACCAATGCAATCAAAACTGCTCGCACCGAGCGGACAAAAACGCGCATCGCCGCTGACCAATCGGCAGTTAATCAGTATTGATCATCCCTGAAGCCGCACGAGTTTGGACGACCAACTCCGCAGTTACCAACTGGTTCATACGCAACGTGGACGGCCTGGTATCCGCGCTCGGTGTGGGGCGTGGGACGCACCCACAGCAGATAGGAGCATTCATGTGTTGACCCGGCCGAGAGGGACCGGCTCTAACCCGGGCAGTGTCGTCCGGTCGGGCCGCTCAGACATCATCCATCCATCGCCAGCATCCCGAATGTGCGCCGAGGGCTCGATGATAGCTAGGACATTGCACGTGAAAGAAGGCGATTTCGGCAGACAACCTCGATTTTGGCAAGGCTTGTAAAGACATAATGTCTCACGAGAAATGATCACTGGCATTTATGTGTAATCCGAGATGATCTCTAGCATCGGTAGAAGAAGTCGGCGATGCCGTAATATTTTACTGAAGCAACGACACTTGGAGTTGTAAAGATACGCAACGTTTCTTAAACGTCTCACCCATAACTGTATCCTTCACAGTAGCTTCCCCCAAGTCTGTGCTCATTCCATCCCGAAACCCATTCCATATGGGCGGCCAAAGGTTTACCAGATCCGATATCTGCTACACCGAGGGCAGCGTGCACGTTTCTGTGATATTAAAGATGCAGGCCGTGTGCACAGTTATGTGGTACTAAGCCGTGGCACAGTCAGGATTTCCTTACGGGAGGGGTCCGGAGCTCAGTGAGCGCGCGTCACGCCTATTTTTAGCTTTCTGTCCAAAACTTTAGATGGTAAAACAAAACAAAACATGGGCCTAAGGGGAGGCGGGCCGCCGTTCCCCTCCCCCTTGGCTGCAACGCTGATATCAAAGATGGCATGACAGGACGAACCAGAAATGATGTGTGGAAACAAAGAGAGTTATGATTAGTTGAAAGGATGACCAACTGAATCACCGTAACAGACTGACGACCGGTGCCGGTGCTCAATAAAGCGTCACTTTGGAGCCCATCAGCCTGCCAGGGTGTCTTTGAACTAGATCATGCCTCATTTGATGCATGGGTAGCCTGGTATGGTAGCCTGGTTTTTCAGCTATGTACGATCTCGTGCGGTGTGGTGCGTGCAGTCTGGTAGTAGCACAGTCCTTGGTGTCGCCACATAGACATGATGAAATGCGCCGTATCGTCCCCCACGGCGGACAAAAACCAAACTAGCAGCTACGTGGAGAGTTGTGGGGGTCCAGCAAACTATCACAATCATCAGATCGATCCACTTCTAAGTTCTGCTGTTAAACAGGCCTTTAGTTTCGAGCCTCGATAACACGATCAGCACCACTTTGATTAAAAGAATTTTGGACCTCGCAAAATGTAAATTGCGACCTCTGTTCGCATAGCGTGCCATCCAGAGACAAGGACATTCAACTTCAAGGATCATGCGTGCCTCGAATCATCTTAGTTGACCCCCTACTTACTTTTCATCCCCCACACGGATCTGATATAGTCCTGCCCAGTGCGCAACAAGCAGAGCAACCCATGAATCGGATAGGACTGAACACTACTGTAGTTCATCTAACATAAAAATTACTCAAATGGTGCGCATTTAATTGGCATACGTCGCACGTCGTAATGCGTCGTAACTGTCGTACAGTACAGCCTGGGATACTTAAAGGAAAGTGATTTGTATCTGGCTTGAAACTTTACGCAAGTTAGATGTGATGAGATACGCTGCCTCGTCTCCCAAAAAGCTTTCCTTGGCCACAAGCACTCTCCTTGTCATTATATTGATTAAAATGCATTACTCTGGGTGATGTGGAAGTATTAGAAAATCGAACCAGTGCACTCGTAAAAATTTCGAATTTAGAAGAGGCCTAGTTCCGTATGACGTTATGGCGATTTGAGTTCGTTGGATTGGTGACAGTGTAAATATTGAATGACCTCTGACTCTGAACCCAGAGATGACTTGGGCCATCGGAGACCATCTGACAGTCTTTCATATTTAAAAAAGCATGTAATCCGAATATTTAAATGGATGGATTTATGGGGTCAGAGCCTGCATTAAGCAGTGTTTATTTGTCGTGTGAGGCCTGATTCTCTAGCATACGATCCCACCTTTCCAGGTCAACGGCTTAATTCGGTGGCGAAATTTTAACGTGCGCATTGCTAACCACGGCCCCTCACGCCCTTGATGTCACTTGACCTTAAGCGCGGTTGCTGGCCGCTAGCCGCAAACCATACCTGTCAAGGACAAACAGCGAGCGCCAAAAGCGGCCCGAACCAACCACGCCACGGATGGGTTGATCGGGAGATAGGCCCTTCGACCAACTGAGCCATCGGGACGGACGTATGGTCTTCTCACTGTCCTTAATACCATCGAATCTGGAGATAATGAAAAATGAAATTAATCGACGCAACCATGGCCTCTCGCCGGTTCCTCACGCGGGTCACATGGAAGAATTCCTGCCCCGCCCTCTTCACTCTATTTTGCATCCAGACCAGACCCCATGCCGGTCCCCACTCAAGTCGCAGCATCAGTGACTGGTCGGCTGACTGCGCAGGTCGCCGCTCAGGCCGCAGCATCAGACTGCACCGGTCGTCGCTCAAGACGCAGCATCAGACTGCGCAGGTCGCCGCTCAGGCCGCAGCATCAGACTGCACCAGTCGCCGCTCAGGCCGCAGCATCAGACTGCACCGGTCGCCGCTCAGGCCGCAGCATCAGACTGCGCAGGTCGCCGCTCAGGCTGCAGCATCAGACTGCGCAGGTCGCCGCTCAGGCTGCAGCATCAGACTGCACAGGTCGCCGCTCAGGCTGCAGCATCAGACTGTGCAGGTCGCCGCTCAGGCTGCAGCATCAGACTGCGCAGGTCGCCGCTCAGGCCGCGGCACCAGTGACTGGCCGGCCGACTCCACCCGTCGCCGCTCAAGCCGCAGCAGCAATGACTGACCGGCGGACCGCACCCATCGCCACTCAGGCCGCAGCATTGGACTGCGTCGTTCGCCGCTCAGGCCGCAGCACCAGTGACCGGCCGGCTGACTCCACCGGTTGCTGCTCAGGCCGCAGCGCCAGTGACCGGCCGGCTGACTGCACCGGTTGCTGCTCAGGCTGCAGCGCCAGTGACCGGCCGGCTGACTGCGCCGGTTGCTGCTCAGGACCGGCCGGCTGGCCTGCGCCGGGTTGCTGCTCAGGCCGCAAGCCGCCAGTGACCGGCCGGCTGACCTGCGCCGGTTGCTGCTCAGGCCCAGCGACAGTGACCGGCCCGGCTGACTCACCGGTTGCTGCTCAGGCTGCAAGGCGCCAGGTGACCGGCCGGCTGACTGCGCCGGTTGCTGCTCAGGCCGCAATGCACCAGTGACCGGCCGGCTGAACTGCGCCGGTTTGCTGCTCAGGCCGCAGCACCAGTGGACCGGCCGGCTGACTGAAGGCCGGTTGCTGCTCAGGCCGCAGCACCAGTGACCGGCCGGCTGGCTGCGCCGGTTGCTGCTCAGGCCGCAGCACCAGTGACCGGCCGGCTGACTGCGCCGGTCGCTCGGCGGTCAGCCGGTCATGGCGCAGCAGGACGCCGGCGGTTATCGCGCGGCTGGCGGAGGTGACGTGGGGAAGAGGGGTGCGGCCGGGCCGGAGGTGGCGCCTCTAGCGGCCGTGGCAGGAGGTGACATTGGCCGATTCATGCCCCGTGATAAGGCGCGTCTCGTCGTCACGTGCGAGCGGGGATCACCGGAAATCGAGCGGCTGCTGGGGAAACGCGGAAATCCTCTGATTCGGGAGATTCAGACAACTGCATTGCGGTGATGTGAGCATGGAATAAACTCCTGGAAGATCATACACGACAGAACAAAAGGCATGAAATGCTATCAAAGCGCAGAAAATCTTGATGATATTCTGTTTGATCCGACGTCTGGAACGATACGGAACAACGATATTGCTTCCAACAGATGGTTGCAAACGTTGGCCGCACATGTAAGTCGATGTACAAAGGAGAACTGCCGGAAGAAATATCCGTACAGAAAACTATGACTGAAAAATTATATCGACATGTTCAGTCCGAATGACATGTCCACAAATGAGTAGTCCTGCCCTACAGCACGAGCCCATAATAGTCTGCAAACATGAACAGTACAGCGTAGTTGCACCTGATGCCGTCAAACGGGCCTTTCCCTTTCCCTGCATGTTCCCGGAGATTTGGACTCATGAGGGGCTCTCTCAGCATCTTCAAGAGTTTCAAAAGTGTATGGGCAGATCGTCTCGCAAACGCTGATTATGTATTCTATATGTTTTTATCATTCATCTCCTTATCATTATCCTTATGCATTTTGTTATGAGTTTGATCGATATGTTGTTAAACAGGCAATACCATAATTTCACAGTCCGATGTACAGTGGCATCAATCGCATCAATCGCGCACTAATTCAGAAATAACATTGTTCGGAAACTGGCTGCGAGCGTGGCCAGGCTTGGATATCTAAATCGGTGAAATCAATGAATCGGCAATGTTTTGTGGTCTTGCACTCGCTACCTATTTCGTGAAAATGTTAGGTGTATATTGATCTTAAAAGACGGGATGTACTCTTCACGAGCGCCGGGTCATCAAAATCGCGACATGATTTCTATCAAACTCCTCAGCCTTTTCTCAATTTGGCAATCTGATTGTTCCATACTAATGGGCTAAAATTGGGGTGACTTTGCTATGCTGCAGAAGACCTTGCCTGTTTAAAACGGTTTGCGCGAACGTGCGGTACTTTATACGGCACATACTATACAGAATTGTGCGCTCTGTTGCTGAAAGCGATTTCTGTGATCTGTGATTCTGCGATCGATGGATGCAAGGAAATCAGCTTCTAGAAAGCGTGACGCCAGACTCCGTCAGCCCGCGTGGCTGCAACGGGAGAGGTGTCCAGAAGTCAGGCTTACTAATTTTATAACCTCGCCTGAGAGCAGGACGGTACACACACACACACACACACACACACACACACACACACACACACACACCACACACACACACACACACACACACACACACAACACACCACACACACACACACACACACACACACACACACACACACACACACACACACACACACACACACACACACACACACACACACACACACACACACACACACACACACACACACACACACACACACACACACACACACACACAACACACACACACACACACCACACACACACACACACTTTTTTCATGCTGCATTCGGATATTTAAACCAATGATTGAAATTTTCGCACACTTTTAGTTAAAACAGTGGGCTAACAGCTTGTGAAAATTTCAAAAAAATAATGAAAAAATGAGCCCACCAGAACTGTTCTAGTGGGTTCATGTCGTCCAGTGTTGCCTTAATTTTCACCGGTCTCACGGGTAATGCGCCCATTTTCACTTATAACATGCACGCTTATGCGATGGATCAAGTTGCAAGCACCACAGATACATCCAACACGGGGGTTCAATGGTCAACTAAGGAATTGTGCTGGAGGCTGGAAGCAAACGGGACTGACGATGCGCCAAGAGCGTTCAGCTTGATCCAGGACCTGACGGCACAGCGCCGAACTGTTGACCTCCCAGCCGCCGATGGTGGCGCTAGAAAACTGATACTAGCCATGATGTCATTAGGGGGATTCACTAGTGAAGCTGAACGAGGGGAAATACCGGCTGCGCCGAACGCGCCGCCGTCATGAGGCCGGGCAATACTGACTGCGACGCCGCCAGCATCGGAGTCAGGTGAGGCGCCAGCAGCTTGTAGATCGGGTGAGAGGGTGACAGGAGCTGTTCGGTACACTGCGCCACGTAGCTCATCATTTCCACGCAGACGCCTGCAACACAGAGTCGTGCGGTGGTGGTGAATGGGCTCAACACGTGGCATAAGGTGCTGGGGAAGCGTACAGCAACAGCACTTACCAGGACACCCCGGGGCCCTCACGTGGTATCTGCCAATTTCACCTATGCCTGGAAATCTGAGAATGTACAGCACATGGTTTCTTTAAAAAGTGAACTTTCGCAACATCTTCAAAAGGGCGACACAAATATTGGGCAAATGCAAAGGCAATAAGGAGCATAATGAAACAAGGCATGATGCCTCCTACTGTAGCAGCTGTCAGTGTGCTTAGACCAGCTGAATAGTTCCGACTTTAATCGGCGATCGTAACTAACATCTCACGACAAAACTGTCTCCATTCAGCTATGGCGTGCGCTCCTAGCCAACGAGCGCGCCGGCTGAGAAACATTCCAGGTCGTTTGTAACACTCAAACTCAGTGATGTCCTATCCCATTCCAAGTTATCTGCTGTCTTTACGACGCCCAACAGTGCGACTTATTTTGCTCGAGACTGCATGAGAAGCCATTTCATAGCACCCCAAGTTTCCCATTGACTTAAAGACGCAAGGTGCGGCGTCTGCCTTCGCTCGTAGAAACCTTGAGCCACATGCCAGCCCATTCCGAAACAGCCGGTGTGCCGCCCTCTGCCGAACCACGATCACCGGGACAACCGCGCTCCCAGGCCCGCCAGCAGCCGGTGCAGGCCAGCACGACCGCTTCCCGGCGGCTGCGGAGGCCCCGGGGACCCGGCTCCGCACAGGTTGCCGTCGGTCCCGCGGGCCCCCAGCCGGGGCCGCTCAGCTGACAGCCACGAAATTGGAGCCGAGTAGTCCGCCGCCGATGGCCGCCGTCCAGCCGGTTCAGCGCGCGTACCGCGCCGGGCCGCCGCCGCTGCCCTCGGGGCCGGAGTCCCGGGAGCGGGCCCGGCGGACACAGCGGAGTGTCCACGCCCTGCCGCCACCGACCGGCTGCGCTGGCTCGAGACCGGAGCCCTCGGGAGCGGGGCCGGCCGGCACAGTCGGAGTGTCCAGCTCCGTGCCGCGCCGGCCGCCGCGCTGCTCGAGAGCGGAGCCCCCGGGAGAAGCGGCCTGGCCGACACAGCGGATTGTCCCACGCCCATCCGCTCACCGCCGCCGCCGCTGGCTAGAGACCGGAGCCCACCCCGGTAGCGGGCCGGCCGGACAACAGCGTAGTGTCCCACTCCCGTGCCGGCGCCGTCCGCCGCGCTGCCTCGAGACCGGAGCACCCGGAGCGGCCGGCCGGGCACAGCGGAGTGTCCACATGCCGTGGCCCGCGCCGGCCGCCGCCGCTGGGGCTCGAGAGCCGGAGCCCCCGGGAGGGGCCGGCCAGAACAACACAGCGGAGTGTCACTCCCCGTGCCGCGCCAGGCGGCCGTCGCTGCTCGAGACGGAACCCCCCGGGAGCGGCGCCCGGCTGAAACACCGGAGGCTGTCCACGCCCGTGCTGCGCCTGCCGGCGGTGCCCGCCGGCCAGGGCCACGCTTGGAAAATGTTGGGCTGCTGAGATTGGCGCTGCTGCTGACGTCAGCGAAATGAGCGGCTGGCGAGAGCGAGCGCTGACCTTGCTACAAGGCACCAGGCGGTCCAGCGCAATGCGCCGCGTGGCCCGGCTGGAAAGTGAAATGGCGTCCCGAAGAACTCAGTCAGCAGTGCGTGACTTTGGAACCGCGCCGGGTAGTCTGTCGTCGTGTGCGACTGTCAGAGGTCACAGGTCAACAGGTCACAGGTCACAGGTCAACAGGTCAGAGGTCGCTATGATCACAGACGTCGATCTGAGCCGGGTCGCTATGATCACAGACGTCAATCTGAGCCGTGGTCATCAATCAAGGCGCGGTCGGTCCAGGTCTGGTCAGAGATGGGAGAGCGTCCAGTTCCGAACCGAGCTTGCCCGTCCATAGCGTGCATGTCCACCGTAACGGACCTACCTGTCCTGCCTGTCCACCGTAACAGACCTACCTCGATACAGAAAGCCGTACTGGTACTGGGCTTCGGCCATATTAAAGAACATCTTGGCGACTGTCCACACGTAGCCCTTGTCGGTCGATAGGAACACCTGAAAGGATGGAAATCTATCAAGCGGAGACCACTTTCCATATCACTTTTGATAAGGCCCACTCGCGTGACCACTTTCCGTGTCGCAAGTCATGAGAGAGCGACCAATTCAAATTTTCGGTCAGAGTCAACATGGATCTTCCGTAGAAATTTACCCAAGACAAGAACACCTGTATAAAAGCGCAGGCATCCATACGACCTTATTTAGATGGATTCATGTAGCGACGTGCAGCAGCATTTCTATTCCCGGCGTGCCCATGACATCGTGATGCAATCTTCCCGCATGACTGAGCGCTGGCGGCGGTCCGGGGCTCGACGGCAACTCTGAGATATTCACGCCCCCCCCCCCCCCCCCCATTCACTCTGCCGTACCGGCAGCTAACGTGTGGTGCCATCAGTCAACGCTGAGTTAGCCGGCCGGGCTCGGGGGGCCGCTGCCTGCAGCGTCGGCAGCACGTTTACAGCCATGCTCTGCACGTCCGGCTCCGCGTAAGGTCGGTCTTCTCCCGGAAGCCGTATTGTTAACTACAGCGAACTTAGCCTCTACCCTTCTGTTTGAAAATAAACAGCAAGACTATATTAGCTGTCTATGGGAAAATCCGCACGATCCGTACAGAGTCACCGTGATATAGAGATAGCGGGTGGACGTGCGACCACAAACGCAGTCGCCGCTCGCCCCGGCAGCGCTCAGTGGCGAGCCTCGATCCGGCTACCCGTCCAGGGGCGCGGCCGAACGCGTCCGTGACGTCACAGCCGGCTAGGAGCGTATCCCCGTCGGCGGATCGCCACCGCGCTCACCGGTAACATCACTGCGCCATTGGCACCACGCGTCGTCGGGTACGGAGGTACAAATCTCGCGCGGATATAACATCCCCATTCCGTCGCATTCCGTGCGCCGCCTGGTCCTGCGAACAGGTGGCGCGAGGGCGCACGAGCGCGGTTCGCGATCGACATTACTGTCCTGGCCGGTGAGGACCGTTCGAGCCGCCGGTGCCCTGTTCTGCTTCTTGGACAGAGCCCTATCTCCGACCATATCCTGCTGTCTGGTTCCGTGCCGTCCAGAAGAATGCTCTTTCGCTAACGAGCACGGGCGCGGGCTGCGTATCCGGGTCACACATGCTGCGTGCGGCTAACGACCTCGCCTGCTACAAAGGTCACATTTTGCTATAATGTTTGCAGCACGTTCATAAGAACGCAACGCATTGAACAGACAGTGACGCTGCTTACCTATTGCCTACGCATAGAACGATGACTTGTTCAAAAAGCAAAACCTCGTAGAATGAACGGGAGAATGGAGAGGAGTTTATTAATATTCGTTTGGATAAGGGCATGTAACCAAAATCTCACATCTTTCTCTCGATTCTCCTGTTTATTCTAGAGGAATAAAGCTATTTATCCTGCCTCATCTATGTGCACAATGTTTCTTGCAAACGCACTTAACAACAACTTACGTAAACACCAAAGCCTGTCGATTGTAAAACCAAAGGTGCATGAGGCTGTGTCATCCACCGTACAATCCCTAAAAGCATTACAAAAGTATTGTTTCATAAGCCCTGTCTTTGTGCTTACACTTTCCGCATATCATTTCTAATGGAAACTTACTCAAGTTACAAAATGCAAAATACTGCAGCCAAAAACCTGCATTCGGTGCCCTTTAAAATGGCGCACAGGCTTGCATAACCTTTAACAAAATCATAGGTGCGGTAAGCCGTCGTTAAATACTCTCTAACTCTGGACCAATCGTCCATCACAAAGACGAACGAGAGATGCGACTAGGGCAAATCTAGAGCAGTTTCGAAACCGAGCTTTTTTCCAGAGAAGCAAACACACCGAAGACATAACGGGTTTACTCGATTTCACTAGGTAAATATAGTTCGCGCAGCCGTGTTTACTCTTGTGATGAAGAAGCGCCGTCAGAAGAATACAGCACACGTCTCCATCGAATAGTGCATCATGGTACGCGCATATCCCGGGATAACCCCAGCAGAATAAGCGTGCAATTGACGTACAAACGATCGCCACTAATGCCGTCACAAACTTCCTGAGCAGGCAAAAAATATTGAGAGTCTAACGCGAATAAGTGTTGTTCTAGATCGAAGAATAAATATTCTGGGTATAATGCGCAAAATGTGACATGCGCAAAACAATTCTGAATGGGTTCCAGCAATTGTGCGAAAACCACATGTACTTTTTAACAACCAGATGATCCCTTCCAAATCCCCCGGTTGTCCAGGTCATATGGATGCAATACATGCACTGCGCTTTGTCTCTCTCTTTCCTCTCCCTTTCATGTCAGCACCTACCGGATTGTTGGGTCCTGGCCTCTGGAAGAGCTGTATGGCCAGCGGCACTAGCTCGCCGGCTCGGTTCAGCAGAAACAGGCCGACCGGAGCCACCATCTGCGGACAGGGGTCGCTCCCGAGTTCAGGCGAGCAGGTCTGGCCGTTATCCGTCTTCAGCATCCGGTGCCGATGTCTCTAAATCACTGTACTGTGATTAAACTCGTGCTTTATGTAGCTCGTGATTCCTATCGAACCAGATATGTTCCCTTTGCAGCGTGCTAGTATATTCTTACCATTATGTTTTGGCAGGTCAATATTGCCACGGCTGCAGGCCTGAATGCTGGGCTGTACTTATTTGCAAACATTACTCGTGTAAAACATTGATACGCACGCGAGGAGAATTATGTGGTTAAGCATATACTTACATGTAACTAGACCCAAGGTTTTTTTTCTACGCCGTTGCCCAAGAACAGGTAACCAGGAGTGCCCCTCCCTCAATCCCAGTGACGCAGTAAACCGTACGTTAACACCAGAAAACATAAAATCAAGTCGCGGCACTCCCAGCCAGGAAGATGAAACAAGCGTTTAAAAAAACAGGCGAAGAGGTGGAGCAGACCCGAAGGAATTGTGTTACGTGATAGGTAGGGACAAATCATAGATGAAAAAGCTTAAAGTAGTCATTAGTCAAAGTCAGCTAATGACAGCCCGTTATAACCGCCCAATAATCTACAACCACTCAATTCACCGTGTTAGTAAGGGCTATACAGTCACACAAGTCGGAGGGGGCAATTACCTGGTCATTTTTGTGCTGGGTTTTGAGCTGGATGTCCAGGGAGTCCACCCAGCTAAGCAGAGCTTGTTGCTGGGAGAACTCCCGGAGCCAGCGCCATGAATTTGGGCATATGTGCATGACTTTATATCAGAAATTGATTATGAAACATGAAGGAGGTCAAATATGAAGTGCGTTGGATATGTACAGCACAAGGATGGCAATGTCTTCAAATATGTTGGTTACGTTAATATGTGTTCACGAAATGCTTGCGGATGATGTTGTTAACGATGGTTTTTGATACAGGGATATCAGCTATTCTTGGAAAATATGAAACCATAATATCGTTCGACAACTTAGGGCCTAGGCAAGATGCTGTAAATAGTCTATAATTACGATAAGATAAAGGTTGGTCTAAATGTTTTGCTCGCCTCATATCCATGTCATTGGATTCGTAGAGATTGTAAATTAAATCGAATGATGCAGGGAGCTGGGAAGTCAAAAATTTGTGCATCACAATTAACATTTGACATTTAGCGATATCCGATAGATTCAAAATTTTGTATCGTTTTAGGATTGGCTCTGAGCTTTGTGGAGGATACACATTTTCTATAAGACGCACAGCCCTTTTTGCAAAATTACCAACCGATCTAGTTGAGAAGCATAATTTATGCCCCAAACCAAGCAGCAGTAATTTAGATAAGGAAGAATCAAAGTGCTACAGAGTAGATGTGACCTTGTTTATCAATAAAGTACCTAACTCTACTTATCATTCCAATATTTCTACTTACTATGCTTGCAACAAAATTAGTGTGGCTTGTAAACTTAAGAGATTTGTCTGATTACACCAGGGTATTTTTTTTTCTCTTCAATAGGTGAATTACTAATTTGCACATTTAGTCGGAAATGCGAAGAAAGGGTTGTGTAACGCTGTGTGAATGTTTTTGATGCGTTCAGGGAGAGAAAATTAGCAGCAAACCAAGAAGTCATTAGAAGCAAAAGCGTATTGACATTGTTTTGAAGTTCGACAATACTTTTATTTTTGAAAACAATCGCAGTATCATCAGCGTAAGACAGACAAATCATGTTACTGCTTAATTTAGGCGAGTTATTTATGTACACTAAAAAGAGGATTGGGCCGAGAATGGATCCCTTGGGGTACCCCAATTGCTACGTTTTTGATTGTTGATAGATAATTCCTGATTTTTACACATTGAGCTCTGCCAGACAGATATGAAGAAATGATTTCATGAGATTTTCGTCGAATACCATATTTAGTAAGTTTACGTAGAAGAAGCTTAATGTTTACAGTGTCGAAGGCTTTTTTCAAATCTAAATACAAACCTAACACATATTCCCCGTTTTCAAAAGCCCTAGTGATAGTTTCCTGCAGAAGAAGAATTGGCATGTAAGTACATTCACAAGGTCATTCACTACATGGGGTAATAACCTAATGTGAAAAGATGGAAGGTAAAAAATGAAGTGATAGGTAGGGAAAGGAAGCACGAGATGATTGGAGCGGCGTGGCTGACGGCTGAAAGCTGTCGGTAACAGGCAGCTGGCTGCCCACAAAAAAACCTCAGTGTGGTCACGGTTCCTACGACTCACTACCCCAGTGGCCTGAAAAGAGCACGATTCTTTATATCTTACACGCTCCACTGAAGTCCGGCCCGAAAGTGCGGTACGCACTCCGAGTGTGTGTGTGCGCGATTAGGGAATTAGGGAGACAGAACGTTGTTTGTCAGGTTTCTTATACCATGCAACCCCATAAAACAAATGATATTTCTTTATACGACGCTGGAGAGCCAAATGCAAAACTTCGCCGAAGTTCGGAGCCGCCTCCCCAACCCCTCGCTCCCGCTCTTGCCAACGCGTGGTGTCGGCCTGCCGTTCTGCCAGTGGCGTAGCCAGGGGAGGGGGTTCACAGGTCCCCTCCCCCAATCAAGTTCGAATACAGTTCTTTCGCCACAGCACACCACTGAATGCAATTTCGCGACTTATCGAGTTGGAACCAGGCAATTATTTGGGCTTCGAATATCATAGAATGCCTTGGGTAGTGACATGTCCGACGAGAAGACGTACTTAAGTGACACTGACAGCGGAAAGCTGAGTGAAGATGCACCGTGTGTCGGAGCGGCGATTGATGTTTAAGGTACCGAGACAAATAAACATAAATAGCTCATTGATACGTTAGGTAATGCACTTATTCGTGTCTTTGGGCTATGCTGGTCTGTTCGCAGTGCAAAAGTACTGTGGGTCTGGGACTCTACGTAGGTGCGGCACTGGCGGTACTGACAATGCTGCGTGGTTATTGCGTGAATACCGCACGTACCCCAAATCGCAAGTCATGGCTGCGCCCCTGCGCCTCTGTCCCTCACCCCACTCTCACCACCGCGCGTCGCCGGTCTGCTCTCCCGCTCCCCCCCCCCCCCACACACACACATACTTCTCTCGCTCTCGCCACCGCGCGTCGCCGGTCTGCTCTCCTGCCCCCCCCCCCCCCCCCCGCCCCGCCCTAGACACACACACTTCTCCTACTCTTGCCAGAGCGCAGTGTCGGTTTGCCGTCCCACCTCGTGACCGTTGATGTCGCGTAGTCCGTGCAGGAGGCCAAGGTCAACGGTGAAGAGCCGGCCGTGCGCCAGACAGTCGGAAAGCGTGCCGCCTTCCAGCGCCGGCAACAGCTGCGCCTCCGTCACCGCCAGTCTGTCGGCCGCAAACACGGCTGCCTCGAACGGCGGCGGTACGCGACACAACGCAATACGAGGCTGGACAGCGCGACGCTAAGGAGAGGACGCAGAATGCGCCAACACTCAGCTACGATAAACGCATGCTCATTAGACGTTGCAACCGAGTAGGTTCTGATAACTTCCAGCCATTCGACAGCACAAATGTTGTTTGAATATGAGAAAAGTATCTTGCCTAATGCATGCTAAACAAAAGATACACACATTCGTGTGGAAACACGACTTAAGCCTTACGTGGGTTTAAAATGCAATTCATATTTTCGACGCGTTCGGGGCGTATTTCTTATTTCCGATGCGTTAACAATATATCTTCAACTGGCAGCCTGCTTTTAACATTTCCGAAATGTTCACCCCGCGCTGATGCAAGGGAGGAGGCTAATGTGACCTCTCCACCTGCTACCCTTAGGTTTTTGATGATACCTCTTCTGCATGTCTTGTAATGGCGCCCAAATTTCTGGTAGCCTGTGGAACATTCAGGGTGCGTGTTTTATTTCTGGCACCATTACCGTGTCTCTGCCATATTTGGTTTCGGTGCAGTGGTTTTTGAGGAGCACAGCACGACGATTTACGGTCTGCGCGGTCGACGCCATTATGGCTTCCAGTATTAGGAAGAACGGGAGCTCGCTCATTGGCTGTGCGGCCCAACCAAGGACGTCATGACTACTTGAGTCCATTTCGCACACATGAGGAAATTTCGGGGGCGGTATCTCGCCGGCTTTCAGTTGTTTTTTTACATCTCTCTCCGCTAGCGGGGGCCATTGACAGCGTTTTTTATTTGGCTTCTGGGATCTTAAGACCCTCAGCACACCCTGCCTTAAACAATAACAAGCTCGCTCATTCCATGTTCTTTAATCAAGTACCTTTAAGTGTTATATGCCTTCGTAGTTTTGTGATTGATCAAGACTTCGGGTAAATAGGTCATGCGGAGGTTGATTAATATGGGGTTAGCGACCTGACACTACCCGAACCTTACTTTTTGTACTGTCCTCAATGAAAGCCTGACAGGGTTTTCCAAGTTTCGACGCGCCAGCGGTCGCTGTTTTAAGGTGTTCCATGTCCTGTCGATGGCCGTTGCATCAAACCTACCTCGAACGGTGTGGTTTAATTCACGATATTCAAGCACGAGTCCACGCGTTTGGGAGGGAATTTGTGTGTATGCATGTACGCATGCATGCATACGTGCAATTAGAGCATATGCTAATCTCAAAACAGCGAGTTTTCAGCAGATTATTTAGAACGCAGAATTCCAATATAGGTCATGTAAGGACATGTAAGGTCCTATGAGGTCAGCCAAAGCTAATGAGCTATGTTGCCAGTAGCGGAGATGCTAGATGAGCGAAAGCGACGCATGTAACCACCTTCTAATCGGGCTCGTGAAGCTGATGACGTCTTATTTCATGTACCAATGTACCCGTTCACAGGTTGTGACAAATGCAAGCGTCAAGCGTCGAAGGGACTGCGTATAATGTAGACAGCAGCTATGCGATTTTGAGTACCTGTATATGTAGAAAGCACCGCTTCTGACCACAGAAAGGCATTGTGATGGCCACATAAACCCGGTTAGAAGTTAAAAATTTGCTTTTGGGTGGTTTAAGAATTTGATCCAATTTGACCTCAGATCACCTTTGGATCAGCCCAACATGGTATTTTTGCGACTGGAATACTTTTATTCCGCAGCCGCAATCGATAAAACAAACTTAGTCGGAAGCAGATTGTGAAGAAAAGCATCGTTTTTGTAGGCTACTTCTACAGCAATTTTGAGTGGTGACCTGATTTGACCTGATCCATTCGGTGGACAGAAATAGATGGAATGGACTCCGTACAGCCTTATGGCATATTTCCGTGCCCTCAATATCCGTCTCGACGTATTAACATAGGTCAACAACTGGTTTTGGCATTTCGTGACCTCTGGTGATCTTACATTTGACCTTACGTCAAATATTTGGCACGCATTCTTCATGATTTGACAAGGCCTTCAAAACGATACCTTTTTTGTCACACGGCGTGTGGAAGATGGAGATGCCAGGGGCGTTGTCAACTCCCCCTCCCGGCCTGGCGCAGTGGCCCGAGACCCCGGCCAACCCTCCCTCCCGGCCTGGCGCAGTGGTCTGAGACCCGACCAACTCCCGCTCCCGGCCTGGCGCAGTGGTCTGAGACCCGGCCAACTTCCCCTCCCGGCCTGGCGCAGTGGTCTGAGACCCGGCCAACTCCCGCTCCCGGCCTGGCGCAAGGGTCTGATACCTGGCCCAACTCTCTCTCCCGCCGTAGCAGTGGCCTTTATACCCGGTCACTCCCTCGCCGGCCTGGGCGCAGTGATCTAGACCCGCCAACCCCGCTCCCAGCCTGGCGCAGAGTTTGAGACCCCAGCCACTCCGCTCCCGGCCTGGCGCAATGGTCCGAGACCCGTCCAACCCCCCTCCCGGCCTGGCGCATTAGTCCGAGACCCCGCCTATACTCCCCTCCGGCCTGGCGCAATTGTGTCGCGAGACCCGCCAACTCCCACTCCTCAGCTGGCGCAGTGGTCTGAGACCCAGGCCTAACTCCCGCTCCGGCCTGGCGCAATGGCCGCTACCGGCCAACTCCCACTCCCATTCTGGGCGCAGTGGTCTGGAGACCCCGGCCTACTCCCGCTCCCGGCCTTGGCGCAATGGTCTGAGACCCCGGCCAACTTCCCGCTCCCGGCCTGGCTCTCTGAGACCCCGGCCTACTCCCGCTGGTCTGAGACCCCGGCCAACTCCCCCTCCCGGCCCGGCGCAGTGGCCTGAGACCCGGTCAACTCCCCCTCCCGGCCTGGCGCAGTGGTCTGAGACCCCGGCCAACTCTCCCTCCCGGCCTGGTGCAGTGGTCTGAGACCCGGCCAACTCCCCCTCCCGGCCTGGTGCAGTGGTCTGAGACCCCGGCCAACTCCCCCTCCCGGCCTGACGCAGTAGTCTGAGACCCCGGCCAACTCCCCCTCCCGGCCTGGCGCAGTGGTCTGAGACCCCGGCCAACTCCCCCTCCCGGCCTGGCGCAGTGGTCTGAGACCCCGGCCAACTCCCCCTCCCGGCCTGGCGCAGTGGTCTGAGACCCCGGCCTACTCCCGCTCCCGGCCTGGCGCAGTGGTCTGAGACCCCGGCCTACTCCCGCTCCCGGCCTGGTGCAGTGGTCTGAGACCCCGGCCGGCCGCGAGTTCACGGAGCTATGCATCATACACATACGGCCAAAACGTGTGGAAAGATACACTTTTGCACTACGAATTGAACGAGGAACACACCTGGTAAGGTTTTGTGTCGCTCTGAAGCATCGCATCGTATGTAGAAGGATGCAACGCCGAAAAAATGCGATTTGGGGGAAAATATTACATTTCACATGGCATATTGAAGTCAAGTATTGACCCAATAGCATGCAACTCATTGTCAATCGCGCGATCTTGTTGAGAAAAAACTGCACCGGTGTTCTTTGCTAAGCTCTATCGTTCTTAATTTTGGAGACGGCAGGGGTCCCATCGACCCCCCCCCCCTTCCCAGCAGTCCGTGTTATGAAAAACGACGAATCGGAGCGGAGTTAAGAAGCCACCTTGTCAACTAGCATATTTTGGAAGAGGCTGAATCAGGAAGGTAACCAAGTTGAACCTAACTTTCTCGTACAATCCAACTTTGAAAGACAAAAGAAGAGGATATGTGATGGATAATCAGTGTATTACACCATAGGCTACAACGACATAGCGTATAGAAGCCATCTTTCAGGACGCCGGATGGTACGAGTGACAGCACAGCTACTTAATACTTAGCCTGGCCTATGCCTAGCAAATGTTCATCTGTGCAAAACCGCTGCGCGATGCACGCATGAAGCACGTCTAATATGCTCGAATGAGATAACATGTCCCTACCGGCCCAGGCAGCAGCACCAAAGTCCACAAGCAGCAATCGCAGCCTTGCCAACGTTTCATTGACACGATAAAGACCAGAAAATTTCATGTTAACATCCCAATGGCATTATCATGGCACTAAATCAACATTGATCGCGTGTATAACTGAAACGAAATCTTTCTTATGGCGTGGTTAATAGTAAGAAATCTTACTAATAACCGCGCTTAGAAAGCACTACCACATAGCAAGAAATATACGACCAATAGCACAGGCACTGCGTCACTGGTCAGAAGTAAGGCTGGTACCGCTGGTACCGCTCTCTTCAAGATAACCCCATCCCTGCTACTGTCACTGTTTCTTCGGTACGCACGATGTCCAGACGCCGCCTTTCACTCAATCTACGCTTCAAAGTAGCGACCAGGCCTTCTTGATGCATCACGACTATCTGTCAAAAAAACTCCAGCCGAAAAAGGAGGATTTCTTTTCCTTAGGCTGCTCTTGCCAGTCGTAAAGTGGCATAGCGTCATCAAAAGATCTACTGCTTGACCCGGTCGCTCGCTGTGGGCGATGTGGGTCGCGCTCATCCCACTGACTGCGAGGTCGGTTATAAACTGGGCCCATAGCGTATTGTTGAGAGCGCCATCTCTCACCCCGCGACCCACCCTGCCCCCCTGCTGCCGACGTGCCACCCGCATTTCTGCCGGGCTGAGTCATACCCGTATAGCTGGCACCATACCCATGCTGGACCCTGGTCAGTTGAGCTTGAGTATCCACTTGCCTGAGCAGAGCCTGCATGTGTTTTTCTGTCCAGTCGCGTAGCTCATTACGGGCTCTAGATTTCACCTTTTCGCTTGTGAGATGCTTCGATAGGGAGTCAAACAATGCTAGCGTGCCATTTTGCACCTGTGTGTGGATGTTAGCCAGCTCTTCGCTTCGTACTGTTTTCATTATTGCTCGGTAGTGTTCTTCCACTCTTGGTCTGATGGCTGTGTTCAGGTTTTCTTCTGCACTTGCCTGCTCTCTCCTTTCGTTCAGGCTGCCTTCGTGAGAGCGGAACTCCTGCTCCATCTCCACGCTCAAAGCCATGCGCTGACTATCCACGGAACTTCCA